GCTGATTTACTTTAGATTAGTTTGGAGCTCAGCCAGCCCTGTTCAATCACAGCATAATGCTTTTTCATTGTAAGAGAGCTGCCCCTCTTGCCCATCTCTGCCCCATACACACCACTGCTACCTCTGTATCAACACCACTTGATCATGTGCGTGTGTTTTTTGTTTGTTTGTTTGTTTTTCACATTAAAATTAAGTTCTTTCAGGTGTTAGGTGCATAGAGCAAGGCCAGAATTTAACCAGGGCCCTCGGTAAAAAAATGTCACCATCAAAGACAAAAGAGTGCCCCAGTGCAAATGTAAGGCAAAAATACCCCGCTTCGAATTCTGTCTATGTCTATTGTTGGATTATAATATTCGCATATGATGCGATTTCAATTTTTCCTTTCTCTTTGGAGTGTTACAAGTGTTTGCAAAGACCAAAGTCTCAAATCCAAAGAGATATTCTTTATAAAAGTTAAGACTTGTCCATGCCCTCCTAAAACGGCTCGTTTAAACACGCCCCCACATGTCTACATCACTGTGTGGGAAGATTTGCATAACACCGCCCAAATGTTCACGCAAAGAAAGAAGGTGTAACTTTTATTCTCGCTGTAGTATTGTTGTTGTGGAGATGCTGTGTGTTTAGTTCTTCCAAAAGAGGACGATATCCAGCCCGGGGTCGTCACATGTGGTTGCTGCACGCCCGCCGGCCGCTCCTTCGTGCATAAACACATTGCATTACACCAAATACACAACATAATGTTCTTTTAAGCATCGTCATATGACCCCTTTAAAGTGCCCCTATTATGGATTTTTGAAAATTACCTTTCATGCAGTGTGTAACACAGCTCTAAGTGATTGAAAACATCCTGCAAAGTTTTAAATCTGAAAGTGCACCGTGTATGAAGTTATTGTCTCTCAAAAGAAAGAGTCGACTCTGAATCATTGAAACGAGTCGTTTTCAAAACGAACCCCGAGCTGTTTCATGTTGATGTCAACATGAAACATTAGCATATTGCCCGCCCACTTGTTGGTCTTTTCGCCTTGGTCTGAATGAAAATGCAAATTCATTCAATGCCACTAGATGCAGCTTTTGGAGTGGTAAAAATAGCGGTTTCCCCGGTAACGCTGTACACAACGCAGCAATGCACTGCTTTATCAGGCATTACAGGCATGATGAAATGAAAATGAGACCAATCACCGCCGATTAGCGTGACGCAAAGGAGGGGTTTGGAAAAATGAATCGTAAAGGTAAAATAATAAGGTAAAGTAAAAATAAATGCACATTATAAGACAATGAAAGTGTTTTTTGATCTTGCATGCATGTCAACCTGTTGTTGGGGACTCCCAAAACCAAAATATGAACCTTTCATTACCCATAATAGGGGCACTTTAATTTTATGAATTTAGTACCTCTGCAGACTTTACTTACTCATAGATGTCAGATATTCGTATTTGCTGTTTTTGAGCATTGTTATTGTTAATGAAAACTAAAACTTTCGGTTGAAATAAAATAAAATATAATTATTACATGGAAAAACTTAAACCCAAAAAACTTAAATGAAAATGAGAAATGTTGCCTTGGCAGTTAACTGAAATAAATGGAAGTATTAAAATGACTAAAACTTACGATCTTATAGTATTAAAACTGAAATTAAATTAAAGCTATATAGAAATATTAAAAAGAAATTACACATAAAATTAATACAACTAAAATTAAAATGAAAACAGAAACCCTAACTAAAATGCTAAATAATTTTGTCAGCGACGATAGCCTTGTAGGTAGCGTGCCGACATACAGTGCTGTTGTGCTACGGCTGTTCTGAGTTCGAATTCTGGCTCGAGGACCTTTCCTGATCTTGTTCCCTCTCTCCTACTTAATTTCCTGTCAACTCTAAACTGTTCTATTATAAAGTCAAACATGCAAAAAAAAACAATAAAAAAAATAATTTAAAATATTAAAAAATATGAATAAATACTATAATAGTACACTGAAAAAAATGGTGTAGGATTTACTTGAAAAAAGAAAAAATTGCTTGTAAATTTCACAAATAATTTCAAAGAAACAGCTAGTAGCACATTGAATTAAACATGATTACATATTGAATTGGAATGACTGAAATAATATTTTTGGTAAAACATACTCCAGTTTTATTTATGACAATCATTTTTACAACAATTTCTACTTCAAATTTTTACCTTTAATTCAACATTACTTGCAATTTCTGTGTAATTATTTGTGAAATTTACTAGCAGTTTCCCAGTGAAATTCACAATATTGTGTATATAAACAATATTAAAAGTGTATATAAACAATATTAAATTCACACTGTTCAGAGGTGCGTTTTTGAATGTATAGCTATTATAAAATATTTTAATTTAATTTAGCTTTAAAAACACTTAATGTAAAATAAGCCATCAAAACCATAATGTGCCATAATTATATAAAGAACATAGAGAACTCAACATTAGGACAGTTCAATAATTTATATGCATTTTCAATTATTTTAGTTCATTAATTTAAAGTATTTGGTATAAATGGACGACACACTTTGTGTTTTTTTTTTTTATTGGCAGGGGAAAATGCCCATATGAAGGTAAAAAATGCACTAGAAAATAATTTCCAAATATTGCTCTTTAATGAAAAAGTTAACAGTGATACAGAGTGATTTTAGGTTTTGATGAAAATTATTGAGTGTGAATCACATGTGATGAGGGTTTTATTGTCATAGATGTGATCATGATGGCTGCTTACTGTGTGTGAAAGTTTTTATGGTATTAAAGTTTTAGAAAAATATTATTGATTTGTTTAGTTTATGATTGCAGTAAGCCAAATTGTGTGCATTTTGATTTAGAGTTTAGAATGATTAAATAAGTTAGCTGAGTGACAGAAAGTGAAAGAAGAAAGAAAAAGAAGCGGAAACTAGGACAGGAGTTCTGGTAGCAGGTGGCACATTTGAACATTTCGTTTTCCGACTATAACCACAGAGCGTGTTTGTCTGGCAAGGACATCAGCAGCAGAAGGCTGCGTGTGTGCGTAAGCTTACGTGTGTGTATATGTTTGCGTGTTAAATGCATGCGTGTGTGTTTGCGCTGTGTAAGATCACTTGTTTGGCCTTGCATCCGCAGGATCAATGGTAGTCTTCACTGAGTAAAGTTATGCAGCGAGCTGGGGAATTTTTTAACATATCCCCAATGGTGCTGGGCGGCTGCCTGGATAAATATAGACATGTTGATGCGTGTCCCTCGCTCGCTCACTCTCGCGCTCAACCTCCCAAGCTTTTAATCAAAAGCAATCTGGAGGAGGGAAGTGGAAAAAAAAAAAGGAGAAAAAATTTGGAATGTGCCAAGATCTTTTGTGTTCCTCGCTCCTGATCCTCCTGCTAAAGGAATCAGCAGGCAGGCTTTCTGTGTGTGTGTGGAGGAGGGTGATGGATAGCGCTGCTAATGTTTGCGTGTAGCATGGCCCGACCCTCCGTACTTTTCCCCACAGTTCCTGCGAATCTTCCCACAGTGACCACGGTCAATGCCTTTGCTCTGTGGGCATGTGATTACATCCCACGGAGCTCGCAGTTTCAAGTCTCAGCCTCTTTTTTCAACA